GTGAACAAACTGAAGTTAGAAGCTGATTGGTTACTGTGCACAGCTGCACCAGATTTTGCATCCTCAAGTTAGTAATTCTCAAGTTGCACGCTCAAGTTAGTAAGTTAGTAATTCAACCCCATTGTGTGTGTATATATATATATATATATATATATATATATATATATATTTGACAGTTAAATATTGATCTGAGCAGGCTTTCATTATCCCTCTATGCCTTTGTGTAAAGGCAATAAATGCATATAAACACTCAAAATTTCCCCCCTTACAACCTTTTTTTGTATTATTATCCTCTTTTTTCTATGGCTAATAGATTTCCAAAATATAGATCAATCCATCAAATAGCCTACAACATCGCGCCACATTAACGTGATACTTCAAATGTAAATTATTATTGGAGCCGCTATTTTTAAACTAATGAAACAATGTGTAAAGTGAATGGAAGTACCAAAAATAAAATAGATTTCCAAAATAGGTTTTCTTTTCTTGGATATTGTAAAATATCTTCTACCACTTCTCTAGCATAGCATAGATAACGAATAGTGAATTTGTGCACACTTGCCAGTTAATCAGTCCATGCATTCTGGAACTCCACTTTTACTGAAAAGAAGCAATCTCCTGTAAGCAACTCTGGGGGTTATTTACTAAAACTGGAGAGTGCAAAATCTGGTGCAGCTCTGCATACAAATCAGTCAAATCCAGGTTTTATTGTCAAAGCTTAACCTCTTGCCTACCGGGCACTTATACCCCCTTCATGCCCAGGTCAATTTTCAGCTTTCAGCGCTGTCTCGCTTTGAATGACAAGTGCGCGATCATGCAACACTGTACCCATATGACATTTTTGTATCATTTTTTTCACACACATAGAGCTTTCTTTTGGTGGTATTTAATCGCCGCTTGGTGTTTTATTTTTTTCACTATAAACAAAAAAAGAACAAAAAATTTGAAACAAAAACAAGTTTTTCTTTGTTTCTATTATACAATTTTGCAAACAGGTAATTTTTCTCCTTCACTGATGTGCATTGTTGAGGTTGCACTGATAGGCCGCACTGATGAGCACTGATAGGCAGCACTGATAGGCACTGATAGGCAGCACTGATAGGCACTGATGATGTGGAACGGACAGGCGGCACTGATGGGCACTGATAGGCTGCATTGATGAGGTGGCACTGATGAGGCAGCACTGGTGGGCATTGATGAGGAGGCACTGATGATGCTGCATTGATTTGCAGCAATGATGGGCACTGATAGGTGGCACTGATGGGCAGTGATAGGTGGCGCTGATGGGCAGTGCTGACTGATGGCACTGACTGACAGCACTGACTGGCAGCACTGACTGATGGCACTGACTGGTTTCTTTTTTTACTGCTATCCAGCAATCTGTTAGATATCTGAGCTATACCCAGTGACAATGGTTTTACAATATACAAAGTGAGGGGATATCTGCAACAGGGGTACAGACAGAAATATAAATCTGACAAGGGGTCTAGCCTTCCCCCTTCCCCCAACAGGGTATCTTTGACACTCTATCCAAAATGGAGAAAAAAAAGTTTTTGGCTTGACTTATGCTTTAAAGTGTTACTACACCCAGGACCCTGCATTCACTACATCTGGTCTTCCACGGTACACACAACATGGAAATGCAATTATTTTAGTAAATATAAACTGATAAATACCTTTTCTCATCAGCAGTTAGAGCAGTCTTATGACTTCAGCAGAGCACTGGTTAAAGCTTGTAGGAGGAGTTTTTTTTTTCTGCTCTAGGAGTAGGCAAAACCCCTGAACTCTGTCTGGACAATGCTGATTGGCCCTGTGCTGATCACATGCACTCTCCCAAGAAAACAAAAAAAACTCTCTAGAAATACACACCAAACTGAGCATGTGCAGAAGGGCTACGGGTTCAGTCTGTCTTATCAGCATGGACATTTGAACAAGAAGAGGGACAGAGAAGTCAGGATCAAACAGCTTTTTTACAGAATGCAGAAGATTAACCCTTTAGGTTCCACAGTGAGTATAACAAGCATGTTTTGCTGCATATATAGACTGATTTTGCTGTTGTGGGTTTAGTAACACTTTAAGTAAAGCCACAGTATTTGCATGGCTTTAGAGGTGGATAAACCTTAAAAAGTATCTCCCCATAAATTAAACTTTTATTGAAGGGGTTAATGACATATGACTTGTGACTGTAGACTTTCTGGTGGCAGAGGAAGTGATATTTGATTTTCTTTAAATGCATTTCAAACACCCGCACATTGAAATGGGAAAGTAAGGTTTGAGAACACTAAATTACAGAATGGCTTCTGTAACTGTTATATGTGTTATAAACATTTTATGTGAACGTGAAGCTTTCCTTTAATTTTACATCTGAATATTTTCACACAATAAAAGTGAAGGAATATTTGCAGATTACCAAAATATTACAATAAAGAAAAACTATTCGTGAAAAGTGAAATTAAACATGCCTCAACAAAGGTATTATACTGTATATATCTTATAGTATACATAATATAGTATATATAATGTACTCGGTACAGCAGTGTATACACCCTCTCCCTGACGCATGTATATTTATCTAATCATTATATAGTCCCACCAGTAGATATAGATTCAATTAGAAGTATATAATGATCAGCCATAACATTATGATGACCCACTTAGTATTGAGTAGGTTCCCCTTTTGCCACCAAAGCAGCCTTGACCCATCAACTTATGGATGTCTTTGGACCTCTGAAGGTATGCTGTGGTATCTGGCACCAAGCTGTCAGTAGCAGATCGGTGAAGTGTTTGTAAACCTTTAAATATACCAACTGAAGTGGCTGGCCTAAGGTGATACACAGAGATGAAACGCAATATAATATAAGTTGTACCTGTCTATCTGTGGTCTTCTCTTCTCTACATCCGTTTAAAGCCCAGCATTGGTTAGGTTTGCCTGAGAGCTCAGAAAAAAGGGGGTGGGGAGTTGCAGTTACACTCTGCAGAACTCAGTGAGGAGAGCTCTGAGAGCTGATTGGAGGAAAAGGACACACCTCCCTTCACACAGGAACAGAGCTGTTGGAAGTCCCTCCCCTGTCACCTTTTTTCTCTTGGTGTCAGGAAATCTTGTCAGAAGTGATTCATGCTGATAGTAGAGGAGCAAAGCAGCAGACAGAAATGACACTTACTGCTCTGCACACACTATAGAGTGATATGCTTCATATTTCATGTCTGGTTTACAACCAGTGCTGTAAGTTGCAAGGTGGGGCTTCCTTTTATTTTTCCAGCACATCCCACAGATGCTCGATTGGATTGAGATCGGGACAATTTGGAAGCCAAATCAACACGTAAAACTTATTGTTTTGTTCCTCAAGCCATTCTTGAACTATTCTGCAGTGTGGCAGAGCACATTATCCTGCTGAAAGAGTCTACTGCCATCAGGTAACCATTCCCATGAAGGGTTGTACTCAGTCAGCAACAATGTTTAGGTAGGTGGTACATGTCACGTTAACATTATTATTATTATACAGGATTTATATAGCGCCAACCATTTGTACAGCGCTTCACGATGTAAACAGTACAGTTACAATGCAATAACATACACGAGGGTCAAGAGGGCACTGGTCATAAGAGCTTACAATTTAAGAGGTAACAACCCCATAATTGGCAGGACCAAAGTTTCCCAGCAGAACATTGCCCAAAGCATCACACTGCCTCTGCCGGCTTACCTTCTTCCCATACTGCATCCTGGTGCCATCTCTTCCCCAGGTAAGTGACGCACACTCACCTGGCCATTCACATGATGTAAAAGAAAACATCGTTCATCAGACCGGGCAACCTTCTTCCATTGCTCTGTGGTCCAGTTCTAATGCTCACGTGCCCATTGTAGGCACTTTTGGTTGTGGACATGGATCACCATGGGCACCCTAACCGGTCTGTGGCCACACAACCCCCTACACAACAAATTGTGATGCCCATTTTGTCTGCTTTAGGCACATTTACTTCATGGACAACATGTTTATTTGCTGCCTAATATATCCCACCAATTTTCAGATACCACTGTAAGTAGAAAATCAGTGTTATTCCTTTTACCTGTCAGTGATCTGAATTGCTGTGTGTTTCCATGCTGATAGATTTATTGGCTCCTATCTAAACTGGCCCTAGTGTACCTATGTATGCAGTGAGATTGGGACTCCTTTGGGACAGGGACTGATGTGAATGCAATCTAGGCAAAGCACTGCATAAACTGTAACAGATTCACTGCTTCCATATGTAGATCCATAAGTCCTCAAGCTGCAGACAAGTGGGTGGACCTGTGTTGGGATGGACATCTTATTATATAAACCTGCCTGCAAAAGGCTCCGCCCACTTGTCTGCAGCGTGAAATGGTACCATGGTAAGATTGCTCCTCCTACTATGTCGCTTTTATACATTAGTGCAAAATGTTTTATATAGATGTGCACCTTCCCCGTTGCAAAGTACATTATATTTACTTGTTTTAAAAATTATTTTTTTTTACATTATTTAGTTACTTCCTGGTTTCCATGCCTAGGCAAATGATGTCAAATATCCCAGGAGTCTTTAGGAGGGGAGGAGGGGGTTTCTCAGCTAAGGCAGATGGATTGCTGATTCTAGGAAGTAAATAATCTGCCTTTACTTAAGATGGCTGCGGCCAAAAATGCTAGGAGGGTGTTTCTCAAAGTAATTTCTCAGGAAAATAAATCATGGAGATATGGATGGATGAGGGAGTTTGCTTTGAATATTAAAAATGAATTAAATAGCGTTTTTGGTTTGTGCTGCTCAGATGCAATGCAGTTCCTCTTTATCCACTTTACAACCGCGCTATAGCCGAATGACAGCTACAGCGTGGTAGTCCAGTTCTGGGAAGGCAACATATGATGTTATCCCAGAACACTCCCCCCCCCCCCCACACACACACACACGCCCCCAGATCTGTCTATGATGTCCTTTGGACATAGCTTAGCACATGACATGTTAAAAGGCCAATCACAGCAGCCTTTTTTCACGTGATCAGCTGTGTCCAATCACAACTGATCACTATGGAAACACATTTGCTGGTTATCGGCAGTACTTTGCTCACGCTGTCACAGTGTGAGGAATGTACTGCCGGTAACCTTCAAATCTGACATCTGCACTGATAATCAGGACACTGATTATCAGTGCCCTGATTATCAGTGCAGTGCTGCCCATCAGTGCCTAGCAGTGCTGACTTTCAGTGCCCAGTGCTGCTCATCAGTGCCCAACAGTGCTGCCCATCAGTTCCCAACAGTGCTGCCAATCTGTGCTTGTCAGTGCTGCCTATCAGTGCCACCAGTCAGTGCCACCAGTCAGTACCCTTCAGTGCTACCTATTAGTGTCCTTCACTGCCGTCTATCAGTGCCCATCATTGACGCCTATCAGTGTCCATCAGTGCTGCATATCAGTGCAGCATCATCAGTGCCTCTTCATCAATGCCCACCAGTGATGGCTCATCAGTGCAGCCTATCAGTGCCCATCAGTGCTGCCTATCAGTGCCGCTTCATCAGTGCCCATCAGTGCTGCCTATCAGTGCCCATCAGTGCTGCTTATCAGTGCAGCTTCATCATCACACATCAGTGAAGGAGAAAAATTACCTGTTTGCAAATTTTTACCATCAAAACAATCATAGAAACAAAGAAAACCTTTTTTTCCTTCAAAATGTTCACTCTTTTTTCATTTATAGTGCAAAAAAATAAAACACCCATTGGAGATTAAATAACACTAAAATAAAAAGTTCTATTTTTTTGAAAAAAATAATAAAAATGTCAAATGAGTACAGTGTTGCATGACCGTGCAATTGTCATTCAAAGTGTGAGAGCGCTGAAAATTGGCCTGAGCAGGAAGGGGGTAAAAGTGCCCAGTAGGCAAGTAGTTGAGGGTAGCCAGCAGCAGGGCAAGTACATCTCTGTCTGTAATATGATTTCATTTGCACATTTCATATATTCTGACTTTTTTACAAGTGATGTGGGAAAAAAACGATATAATTTTTATGTAAATCCTGCTGATACAATTTATCATTGTGGCATGTGAAAAGTCCTCCTCCCCATTTCTAATTGTACAATATGCAGTGTGTAACAATAAACAAGCTTTAAAAAAAAGAGTGCAAAGAGAAATGTGTAAAGTGTGAGCGCAGAGCTGCCAGTCGGAATCCATCTTGTACTGGTTTGACTCTGGTAAAGGAAATTCTGATTGGTTGTTATGGGTTACTGGATTTTACACTCAGCGCTTTGTCTTTTTGTACTGTTTACTGAGCAAGCAGGAATTGTAACTGTTGAAATGCAAATGTCCCCTGTGAGATTTCCCTCTCCAAACTCTTTCCATCTTGCACAGCCTGAACTTTGCAGAAATCTTTGTCTGAGAGTTGCAGAAAGCGAGTGTTCTAATCCATCTGTCAGGAACAATGCTGTCTAAATTGTAAAGTAGCTTTTACCTTATTCCACTAAAGTTACTATTTATTTATGATGCGCACAGATCAGATTTGCAGGAAAATTCATGGAAATAACGGAGTATTTGTTAAATCTAATCTGCAAGTCGTGGTGGGATATTGCCTGATTTTATAAGACAGAAGAGACAGATATTTGATTCTGAATGTCAAATGTGACATCTGAATTATTACAAATTTCACCGGGGAAGAAACAACAACAGAATCTGGCTGATTGAGAAGGATAATATGTTTACTTTATCAAATGAGCCGCAGTTTGTTCTCTGATGAGTTTACTTAACTTTTCCTTCATTGGAATTTAAAGCAGTATTAAACCCAAAAACAAAAATGTATTCTGTTGTAGCTTTCCAAACCTTAGATATAGTGGCTGCATTCGTTTTCTTTCTGCTTTTTGCTTTTTTCTTCACCTGGTGATTCGGGAAGTAGGCCTTTTATTTTTCAACTTACAATGATCAACTTTCATTCATATATATAAAACCATTATCCGCCCCCCCAAAAAAAAAACTGTTTTCTGTAACTGCATAAAAAGTGTTAGCTGTAGCTCAGCTTTATTTTGTTAAAGCGGAGCTCCACCCAGAAGGGGAAGTTCCACTTTAAGGACTGCTCCCCTGCTCCCCATTAAGGATTGGCACCTTTGGGGGCGGGGGGGGGAGCGGGTCCCGGAATTTGGCAGGTACTCGCTCCCATTTCCGGTCCTATTGCCTAGGCGATCGGAAACGGAAGGTGTCCTCCCTCCCTTCCTGTAGTTTTTTCGGTCCCAGAAGACTACAGGACCAATCATGAAGCGCAGCGCTACTTGCACATGCACAGTGGGTACCCAGCTGTGAAGCCTCAAGCTGTCACAGCCGGGTGCCCACACTGAAGATGTTGGCCTCCTGGAATACAGGACAGCCGGTGAAACGGGCTGTTGGGACACACTGCGGGACCAAGGGACAGGTAAGTGGCTGTTTTTTAAAAGTCAGCAGCTACAGTTTTTTTAGCTGCTGACTTTTATTTTTTGACAGGTGAGTGGAACTCCGCTTTAAGTCCATCTAAGGTGCATATAACACGACCCCCAAATTGACATTGCTGCTATCCAAGGGTGTCTCTGTTGTTCCTCCATCCAGAGTGGAGCCACCCCAAGACATGAGTTGGGTGTGTTACTGACTGGATCACCAGGTGAAAATAAAGTTGGAAGAGCCAAGAAAAAAAATAAAACTAATGCAGACACCATTTATAAGAACTGGTAAGCAATATATTAAATGTTTGCTCTTGGGTTTAAGACCGCTTTAAAAAGAACTTTTTGGAAGGAAAAGATGACAAAAAGATGTATTCTGCCATTTTTTGACCAAAGCCATACATAGACCCAGCAGGGAGGTTGTACATAAGTCATTCTACTTATCGACTTCTGTACAACCAGCCTGTTAGATTTTGCCCATTCAGTCAGTGTATTCTGATGGCAGGGAAGTCTCCCTGCTGTCAGAATATGATAGCTCAGGCATTAGATGTGTGTGGATTGGGGAATCGAGCCACTTCACAGGACAATACAGAGACATCACTCACAGAACACACTCCTCTGGATCGCACACCATGCGGATGAGAATCAAGGGCTCGGTCCCTCTACTATATCGTCCAATAGCTGGACTTTTTCAAAATGTGTCTGGAGTGGATGGATTTTATGTATATATGCGCTCTTGCTGCACTAGCGTTGTGAGGGTTTTTAACTTTTATTTTATATGATAAAACCATTCAGTGAGCACTATGAGAGTTATTTTCTCTTATATATGGGTCTGATAATGCTGAGCATCGAAGAGTGCTTTTATAGCAGGATCGCTGATTATCATTTTACTCCCATGTGGGGATTAATGCCAGATAGACTTCATTAATATGTAGAGGTCAATTTGCAAAGGTGAGCGATCTGGAGTTGCACTGGGTGAAGAGTGAACACCTTTGAATGTGAAATGTAAGGAACAATTGCACTGATCACATTATGGGATTGGGACTTATTCACTATTTTTGGATATGTCATCACAGCGTTTTGTGTTTTCTCACATTTGTGTATCTATGAATATTTGTTGAACATTTATTGTATGTGCTCATAAACTCACTTTATTAGGTACACATTTTGCTCCATATTGACATGATATCTTCATGCAGTTGCAGCAGATTTGTCGGCTGCACATTCATGATGAGAATCTCCCATTGCAGTACATCCCAAAGGTGCTCTATTGGATTGAGATCTGGTGACTGTGGAGGCCCCATTGGAGTACAGTGAACTCATTGCCATGTTCAAGAAACCAGTTTAAGATGATTTGAGCTTTGTGACATGGTGCATTATCCTGCTGGAAGGAGCCATCAGAAGATGGGGACACTGGAGTCATAAAGGGATGGACATGGTCAGCAACAATACTCAGGTTGGCCGTGGCATTTAAACGATGCTCAATTGATACGAAGGGGCTCAAAGTGTGCAAAGTATATATCCCCCACACCATGACACCATCACCAGCCTGAACCGTTGATACAAGACAGGATGGATCTATGCTTTCATGTTGTTTATGCCAAACTCTGACCCTACCATCTGAATGTCGCAGCTGAAATTAAGACTCATCAGACCAGGCAACATTTTTCCAATCTTCTATTGTTTAATTTTGGTGAACCTGTGCGAATTGTAGCCTTGGTTTCCTGTTTTTAGCTGACAGGAGTGGCACCCGTGTGATCTTCTGCTGCTGCAGCCCATCTATTTCAAGGTTCGACCTGTTGAACATTCAGAAATGGTATTCTGCATACCTTGGTTGTAGCAAGTGGTTATTTGAGTTACTGTTGCCTTTCTATCATCTTGAACCAGTCTGCAATTTTCATCCACAACACTTCCACTCTTTTTCGGACCATTCTCTGTAAACTCTAGAGATGGTTGTGCTTGAAAGGTCAGCCATATTTTAAATACTCAGATCAGCCCATCTGGCACCAACAACCATGCCACGTGCAAAGTCACTTAAATCCCCTTTCTTCCCCATTCTGATGCTCGGTTTGAACTTCAGCAAGTCAGCAAGTCATCTTCACCACGTCTAGATGCCTAAATGCATTGAGTTGCTGCTATGTGCTACCAAGCAATTGAACAGGTGTACCTAATAATGAGGCAGGTGAGTGTATATGATGCAATGTATATTTTTATGGTTATTGTATCATATTGTGACACTGGATTTGGATTTGGATATTCACTTATTTGTTTATACTGTATATTGATATTAGTTAGGAATTGATAACTGATTTATAAAAGGGTAGCGCTGCACTGGTTTTCCTTAAATTTTTTTAATTCTTTATTTTTCATAGATATATAGGAACAAAAACAGATCAAAGTTGTTCCATTAGTCGTTCCATCCATTTTCCTTTAACCACTTGCCCTCAGAGGATTTTCCCCCCTTCCTGACCAGGCCATTTTTTGCGATATGACGCTGCATTATTTTAACTGACAATTGCGTGGTCATGCAACGCTGCACCCAAATGATATTTATTTTCTTTTTTCCCCACAAATTCTTTCTTTCAGTGGGTATTTGATTGCCTCTGCGGCTTTTATTTTTTGTGCTATAAACAAAAAAAGACCAACAATTTTGAAAAAAAAAATGTTTTACTTTTTGCTATAAAACATATCCCATAAAAAACAATTGTAAAAAATCAAATTTCATCATAAATTTAGGCCAATATGTATTCTACTACACGTCTTTGCTGAAAAAAAAAATCCAATACGTGTAAATTAATTGGTTTACGTGAAAGTTATAGCATCTACAAATGGCGGTATATATACTGGAATTTTTTATATATATATATACTAGTTATAGCGGGACTGTGGGACTGCGGCGGACGTTCTGACACTGGGGAGAAACTGACTAACTGCCACTGACATCCCCATTGATACTAATACAGTGA